ATCCTCATGTCCATCTGAAGATGAGAAAACAGATTTACAACCTATAAACTCCAACCATCATTCCATGGTACAACTTGACTCAAACTCTTTGTCCAAGTTCTAGACCATGTTCTTAATGGAAATACTTTGTATCCAAATAACTGTGATCATCCTGTTTTTGAAGCTGAGTGAATCATTTTGGGAAAGTTTTTTCTTTTGCATTTTATGGGTTGATCTGTATTTCACCTGATTTTCAGCCAAGCAATCATTCTCTGGGTCTGTGAGGACTTCATACTGATACTGACTGATTTTGTGTTTATATTTCATGCCTTGCCTCTCATGAGAGACCTCATTAGAAAGAAACCTGCTAGTTAAACCTAATACCCAACTTTCTCTTTCTTCATTTTCCATTTCCAATTTTTTTTTCTCTTTTCTGCTCTCTGGGCAGCTTATATGTAATTCATCTCCATTAAATTCTTTCATTTTATTGTTTTTTGGTGCTATCACTTAAGGACCACACTTATGTTTATCCCATTTTTCTTTATACTCTTATTGTTATATATAACATTAGTACAGGGAATTTGTAGATATTTAGAATTTAACAAATGTTCCTAAAATAGATGCCTCTGTATCTGTCACTGAGTGAAATACAAAGAATGCTAGTAGTGCCCTGCCATGTCAAGTACTCCATCCCAGACACAGTCTGCACCTCCTCCAAGAGTAATCCAACATCCAGATTTTAAAGTCAGCACCTTTTGGATTTTCTTGATAGTTTTCCTTACTATGCATAAACCCTAAAACTAGAGTTTGGCTCTGTATATCATTGACATTTATATGAATGGAATCATATGCTGTGTGTTTGTTTGATCTTACTTCTTTTGCCCAATGAATGTCAGTACAATTCACCCACGCTGTTCAATGTGTCTGTATCATCCATTTTCATTGCTGCTCAGGGCACCATTTCATAATCTGTCTCTATTCTACACTGATGGACCTTCGTATTGCTTTCGGGTGTTGCAATAACAAGAATGCAGCTGTAAAAGTGTTTGTTCGTGTGTTCTGATGCACATCAGAACATATTTCTTTGGAGCAACAGTTTCCTTCCACACTAGGTGTGGATGTCCAGATGTATATGGATCTCCTTCTAAGCTCTACATGGTCTCCACTGTTCTGTACGTGTAGCTCTCTGCAAATATCTAATACCAAATTGTCGTCATTTCTAGTTTTATAACAGGTCCTAGCTTCTGAAAGAACAATCCACCTTATCTTTTTTTCTCTTTATCTTCTAAACGTGCCTTATTTTTCTGTGAGTTCTGAGTTTTAAAAACCTATTGTCAAGTTCGACAACTGTAACAAAAATCAGAAAAACGAAAACTCAAAAGCATTTCAGCACTCAGAAGACTTTTTCTCTTAAAACTACCAACTATACCAGAATTTACTTTTAAACTGTGTTATATGTACAAAATTATTTTTTCTTTTAGATAATAAAAAAACATTATCAAGATATGGATTATCCTTACATGCCAGCCCTATTTCACCACCCTGCTTGGTTTGTCTTGTCTGAATACTTGTTTTTAAGACAGTCATTGTGGTAAATTCCCAGTTTGGAAGAATAAATTCCCAAGTTTAATATGCCCACAAATATTTTTATTGCTTTTTCTTTCAAATGGCATATTGGCTGAGGATATATTTTTTAAAAATTTCTGCTTTTCTATCCTTTTTAAATTAAAAAAATTTTCAATTAATTTATTTTAATTCCAGTACAATTAAAGTACAGTGTTATAATAGTTTCAGGTGTACAATATAGTGATTCAACAATTCTATACATTACTCAATGCTCACAACTGTACTCTTAATCCCCGTCACCTATTTCATGCATCCCTCACCCACCTCCCCTCTGGTAACCACCAGTCTGTTCTCTATACTTAAACGTCTGTCTTTTTTTCTGTCTTAAATTCCACGTGAGTGAAATCATATTTGTCTTTCTCTGACTTATTTCACCTAACATTATACCCTCTAGGTACATCCATGCTGTTGCAAATGGGACGAATTCATTCTTTTTTATGGTTGAGTAATATTCCAGTATGTGTACATTTTCATACAAACACACACACACACACATCTTTATCCATTCATCTAGACACCTGGGTTGTTTCCATATCTTGGCTATTGTAAATAATGCTACAATAAACATAGGGTGTGTCTATCTTTTCAAATTACTGTTTTCATATTCTTTGGGTAAATACTCAGTAGTGGAATTACTGGATCATATGGTAATTCTAATTTTTAATTTTTTGAGGAATCTTCAAACTGTTTTCCACAATGGCTGAACCAGTTTGCATTCTCACCAATGGGGCAGAACAGTTCCCTTTTCCTCCACATCCTTGCCAATACTTGTTTTCCGTGTTTTTTATTTTAGCCACTATGACAGGTGTGAGGTGATATTCACTGTGGTTTTGATTCACATTTCTCTGATGATTAGTGATGTTGAGCAACTTTTCATGTGTCTGTTGGTTGGCTGAGGATATTCTTGGTATATATAATTTTTACTTCAATATTTTAAAAGCTTTTATTTCATGGTACACTTACACTCACGAATTGTGAAAAGGAATGGGCTCAAGCTGATTTTGGTTCCTCTATTTCTCTCACTGTACATGTGTATAACTTTCTCCGGTCCTTGATTTTCCTTATTACAATGGGCCTAGGCAGCATGTGTTTCCCTGTTCTAAACATGCCCCCTCTGTAATTTTTCCTTCTTTGTGTTGTATTATCTAGATATATGTCTGTTTCTTCTTTAATGTTTTAGATTTTTAGCTTTCCTTTAAAATTTCCATTGGCTTTACCCCTTTCTGACTGCTTTAAGATTTTCTCCATCTGAGAGAAATCTTTTTTTTTTTTAAGTAAGCTCTATACCCAATGTGGGGCTTGAACTCACAACCCAGAGATCAAGAGCTGCATGCTCTACTGACTGAGCCAGCCAGGCATCCCTGATATTTTTAATTTTAGTTGTACAGAAATTTATTTCTCCTTATTGTGTACTTTATGAAACCACTGTATTCAATGTCTAATATTCCCACATTATCACAACTTTTATATTGTACTATATTACTAACGTCCTCCTCACTTTGAAAATAACTATTACACTTTATTTAATAGATATATTAGTCTGTTACAAAAGATGTTTCTCCAGTGTTATACATAGCCCCTTTTACAATGGTTTTGCTTACAGGTAACTTTGAAAGAGAAAGCCAAAAGGTGACTTCTTTACTAGATATGAAGAAACTAGAAAGTCATGGTAATGAAAGGTGTGGTGTCAAGCAGTCAAACAATCTTTATGCAGCTGCTAGGTTTTGCTTGCCAATCTGCCATAGGTAGGCTGGTAAGGAAACCACAAGCCCAAATGGATTGAGAAAGATTATTCCTTACACAGATAGCATAAGAAAGTCAGCAAACATTCTGTCACCTCCTGCTATGCCTGTCACATAGGAACCACCAAATCAAAGGGACCAGGTTACAGGCAACATGTGCAGTGGGACTCAGTTGCTGAAGAGCGTATTCAAGCCTGGCTGTGAGTGGTTTTATATCCTTGCAGATGGACCCTATGGAGGGAGGGATTAAGTGGAAATTCCAATGTCTCACAGGAACTAGGAAGGTAGTGAAACTCTCATATACCGTTCGTAGGAAATATAAAAAATAACCATTTCAGATCAGTTTGGTAATTTCTTAAAAAGTTAACATTCACCTACCCTATGATTCAGGCATTGCACTCAGACATATTAACACAAGAAAAATGAAACATGTATCCGTATAAAGATTTATACATGAACCTTCACAGAAGTTTTATTTGTAATAGCCAAAACCTGCAAACCCAGATGCCAAGGAACAGATATATGGAAAAACAAATACCGGTATGTCCATATAACAGAATATGATTCAGCAATGAAAGGAATGAACTTTTTAAAATCTCAAGGTAATGATGCAGTATATATGAAACAGGGAAAAAAATAAATACTTTATGATTCCAATCATATAAAATTCTAGAAAATGTAGTCTACTGTAAAGGAAAGTAAATCCAAGTTTGCCCAGACAGCCAGAGAGGGCAGGGAGAGAGATTAATAAAAATTATGAGGTAAATATGTGTGGGACTTATATGCTCATTATCACAATTATGATGATTTTGTGGATTATACCATCAAATCTTATCAAATTATACATTTTAAATATGTGCAGTTTACTGTATGTCATTATAACTTAAAGCTTTAAGCAATGGTTCAAAATAAAAGGATCTCTCCCACTCCTTATAAAAAAAAATCAAATTTGGCATCCTTCTATTATCTCTACCACCTCTCTCCTAATGCTTTGGAAGGGATGCCTTACCTCAGTGATAGCAAATATTGGTGAACAATAGAGGATGTTTCCACCTTAGTCACAAAGGCCATATCACTAGACTAAGAGATCTCCCTTCTCTCTAACCTTGTTTTCCTGAATGTGCAGTCTTAAGGTCAACAGGCCAGAAAGCTACAGGAATCCACAAAACCTTAATTTCTCTGCCAATGACCTCAGCTATTCAAGATACACAGACCAGGAGGTACATGCTCACTCAACACAGCCAGAGATGCTGGAATAGCTGTGGGTGCACTTTTAGAAGAGGGATGTTCCATCTAGTTTACTGCAGGCTCCAGCACTCCCTATCAACCCAATGTTTCTAATCAATTATGATCCCCCCTGAGCCCTTTAGTGTTAAAACCAGTGACACTACCCTACCAAATTCTGGGCATCAGGGCACATGACTCTTCTGAAGGACCTGGGGAAGAGAGTCCCCTTAGCTGTGTGGTCATTACATGATATGCACTATAAACAAAGGAACCAATCCCAGAAACACTGGGGATTGTCACAAGTGCCCGCTCCTCAATGTGACCTTTGGGCCCACAAAAAAATCTTGGCTTCCAGGCTGCACGTTAGTTGTACAAAGCCTGTTGCCCTCCCAAAGTTGGGAACTGTCACACAAGCTGTTTACCCCTTCATGATGTTTTCAAAGCAACCAGCTAGTGAATACAACCCCCAAGATTAAAGGTGGCTTAAACAATAAGGCCTTTATTATTGCACAAATCATAGCAAGGTCAGGCAGGCAGTTTATGGGTTGGTGACATGGAGAATGGAAAAATCCATCACAAGTGTCATATGAAAACAATGTCCTTGAAGACAAACCTTCTCTGCAAGCCACCAGTAGAACCCAGATAAGGTGTTCTGGGAGAAAACTGGATCAGATATACACATTAATTAGAGAAAAGGGAATGATGTTACTCTAAAGGCTCAGGCTGCTCATTATTTTCTCCAGACAGAACACAGAGATCTACTTCCCTAAACAGTGGGGTAACTGATGCATACCATGGGGGCCTTTCTAGGCAGTAGAGCTGACTTATACTACGAAAACTGGCAGTCACACAATTTCAGCAAGGAGCCCAAGCTGGTTAGGAAGTGCAATATGGTTCCTAGAAGCTTCCCACATACCTGGAACTTACAGGGAATCTTCCCTGTGGTGTATATTCAGATGTATGAGTTCAACTTCAGGAAGATGTCTCCCTCACAAAGGCTCTCCTCCCATGGCATTATATCAAACACGTAGAAAGCCTGCTTCTTGCATGGCTATGGCTTTGCTGTGTGAACTTTCTGGTGCCCAATGACGTGAGACTTTCGGCTGAAGGTTTTCCCACATTCACTGCACTCATGAGGTCTCTCTCCAGTGTGGACTTTTTTGTGTCGGATGAGGTTACACCTTCGGCTAAAGGCTTTCCCACATTCACTGCACTCATAAAGCCGATCTGCATTGTGAACTTTCTGGTGCTGAATCACGGCAGACCACTGACTGAAGGCTTTCCCACATTTGCTGCACACATATGGCCTTTCCGTGTGGTGGTAAACTTTCTGGTGTCTAATGAGGTTAGACCTTCGGCTGAAAGCTTTTGCACATTTGTTGCACTCATGAGACCTTTTTCTGATGTGAATTTTTTGGTGTTGAGCAAACTGGGTGTCACTGAAGAATTCTCCACATTCCCTGCACTCATGAGGCCTCTCTCCAGTGTGAACCCTTTTGTGTTGAAAGAGGTCAGAGTTGCGGGTAAAGGATTTCCCACATATCTTACACTCATAAGGTCTTTCTCCACTGTGAACTCTCTGGTGTTGAATGAGGCCAGAACTTTGGCTAAAAAATTTCCCACATTCCCTGCACTCATAAGGTTTCTCTCCAGTGTGAACTCTACGGTGTTTAATGAGGCTGGAGGTGTCACCAAAACATTTTCCACATTCACTGCACTCATAAGGCCTCACTCCAGTGTGAACTCTCTGATGTTTAATGAGACTGGAGCTTTGGCTAAAGGATTTTCCACATTCACTGCACTCATAAGGCTTTTCTCCAGTGTGAACTCTCTTGTGTACAATAAGGCTGGAGCTCTGGCCAAAGAATTTCCCACATCTGCTGCATTTATAAGGCTTTGCCCCTGTGTGAATTCTCTGGTGTTGAATGAAACTGGAGATGTGGGTGAAGAATTTCCCACATTCATTGCATTTATAGGGCCTTTCTCCGGTGTGGACTTTCTGATGCTGGAAGAGGTTAAACCTTCGGGTGAAGGATTTCCCACATTCACTGCACTCATAAGGCCTTTCTCCAGTGCGGACACTCAGGCGTTCAGCAAGAGTGTATTTGTGGCTAAAAGTTTTCTTGCATTCACACCAACTGCAATGGCTCTTCCCACTGTTAATAGCTTCCCCACACACGGTGCAACTGTGTGGTTTCTGCCCATTATGAGTGGCCTGGTGCTGGTGCTGGCCTGAACTGGCGAGGAAATCCTTATCAACCTCCCCATTGGTAAAGGACTTCCCTGACACATGGGACCTACAGCTCTTCACAAATGAAGCCCATTTCAACAGTTTCTCTCCACTATGCTGCTTCCCATGCTGGTGAAGGTTCGCAGTGAAACAGACTTGTTTCCTACATGTGTAAGATCTCAACTGGGGACGTGTTCTCTGATGCAGAGCCACACCCAAAATGTCTTTTAAGACCAGACAACATATCCCACAGGGGTGTGCCTTCTGGGGATATGAACCTGCATGGTGAGTCCTGACCTGTGACACTCCTATAGAAGCAGCCTGCTCTGAAGGTGCCTTCCCATCCTCTGCTCCATGCCAGCAACCTGAAAGCAGAGAAATTCTAGTGAAGTAGACATAGGCAGTAGTGGGAAGAGGCAACACCATCATAAATGTGTGTCCAACGCACCAACGAATGTGCGGATGGCACTGTTTCCAGGATGAAGGAGCTGGGGTCAGGGTAAAGAAGCTGCTGCTGTGGGGCACCTGGATGGTTCATAAGGCTTCCCGCTCAGTGGGGAGTCTGCTTCTCCTTCTGCCCCTCCCCCCCACTTGTGCGCTCGCTCTCTCAAATAAATAAAACCTTAAGAAAAAAAAGCAGCAGCTGCTGCTGTTTAGTACTGGACCTCTACAGGTCAGTGAGGGAGGCCTCTCCGGGTGAAGAACACAAGGATGGGATGTGGCACAGAGAGGGGCAGCAGGATCTATAGCTCATTTCTCTGCTAATGGCTTTCAGTAAATCCTTGCTGACAACTGCAGAAAGGTGTATCTAAGCTCAGGAAAATCCAAGTGCAAGAGAGCTGGTGCTTAAGAACTATGTGAGTAGGGGCGCCTGGGTGGCTCAGTCGGTTAAGCATCTGTCTTCAGCTCAGGTCATGATCACGGGATCCTGGGATGGAGTCCCGCATCGGGCTCCCTGCTCAGCGGGGAGTGTTTCTCCCTCTTCCTCTGCCCCTCTCCCTGCTCGTGCACTAATAAATAAATAAAATCTTAAAAAAAAAAAAAACTATGTGAGGATATGTGCACACTTCATGACACAGAATGTGTAGGACGATGTGAGAAAGCACTACAGAGGAAGCAGTAAGAGAAACTGGTGACATGTGGAGTCCAGAGAGGTGGGAATTAACCAAATTCAGAGCAGAAAGGACAAGTTAGCAAGTGTCAAGAATGGGGAAGTAGAAGCAGAAACAAGGTGGCCAATGGCCACCAGTGGAACAGGACAGGTTTCTGGTATCATCTGAACACAGATGAGTTCTCTCCTACTTAACACTTTTCAGAGCCAGGGCTCCTCTGAGCTCACCTTGCTATGGCTGGAGTCATGTTCATCCTGGGAAACACCCAGGACTCTCCTCCATATCCCCTGGTTCGGGAACTAAATGGGACCTGCATGATGCAAGTTCTAAGGGAAAGGTGGGAGAGATGAGTGACCAGCAGTGGCCCAGAGCAACTCAACACATAACAGACCATAGGAAAGAAAACTAGTATTACAAAAAAAATCCTCAGAGGAGGATCCTATAAGAACTGCCCGTAGTCCACATAAGTACTGACCATGTCAGTGACTACAATTCCTGGAGCAGGCAGGGACAGGAAATGTCATCACCTATAGGAAGGGGGCAAAACCTTCTGACCCTGAATACCTCCCCAGTGAGGCTATGGTGCAGTGCACTCAACCTAGCCCTAAGGACTCCAACTAACCAGGGAGCTGTGGAAGGAAGCAATGTCCATGTTTGTGATGGGAGAAATAGGGAGCTATCCCTGGGATAAAAGTAGAAAGCCCAGGTCCCTGGGGAGGGAATGAGGGCCTTACCCAGGGTGGTCACAAGTGCAAAGTTCTCCAGCATCACATCATGGTATAGGCGTCTCTGAGCCTCATCAAGAAGACCCCATTCCTCCCAGGAGAAGTACACAGCCACATCTTCAAATGTCACACTGTCCTGTCAGGACAGAGACAGATGAAACCCCAAAGAGCCCCTGTCCCAAGGACCTACAATTTCTTCCCCCACAAAAATCACGCCATAGGCACCATTGGTGGTCTCTCCTCATGGTCCCATTATTCACTGTGTACAACCCTCAGCAACAACAGCACATCATCAGATAAACACCATCTAAACTCTGGGCATGGCACATAGGGAGGGCCCCAAAGCTCCTGCCAAGCAATACCCCTGCAGTCCTCCAGACTAAGTGTCCCAGACTCAACCAAATTTGGGCTTTCCCTTCAACCTTAAGTCCCCAGTACCAGAACCCTGGGGCCATTGGTTCACAGTCCCTCTCCACATGCACATCACTGCAGCTGTGATGTACAGACTGTACCTTTTACGTCTCTGGAGCCCAAAGATGCACTCTCTCCACCACCACAACTACCCCCTTGCCCCACAGCACAGGCATCTCCCTAGATTGACAGTGCTTGCTTGGCAAACTCAAATGGAATCCAATATTATCCAGACCTCCAATGCCTTCCACTACCAAGGGCACTCCAGAATCCTGCTAGGAAAGCCCCCCCTTCATAGAGAGAAAGCTAGCCCTGTTCTTTGCTTCAACCTCACCAACCAGAACCACATGCACATCTCAGATATCTCTGGTCCTCTTCAACTTCTGTGCTGCCCTTCCTGTCCTCTCCAGTCACATCTAAACCTCATTCAAAACTCAGCCCCACTGGTTCCCTATCCCAGGCCTAATAACCCATAGATGACCACAGTGGACTCTGAAATAACCTACCATCCTGACTGAAACATCTCATGCCCTACCCAAGGGTCACCACAAAGTCCTGGGAAACATCATCCTGCCTCAATTACTCCTGTGCCTCCACATTTTCTGTCAGGTCCACTTTTCCCTTGGAAATCTTGGTTACCTGTCAGATCATCCTCCTACCCACACTTCCCTGCCAGCCACTCTTCTCCTTCACCTGTGTACCCAATACCGTCCACCTTCAACCAGGTGTCCAAGCCAGAGGTCCCGTATTTGGTCCACACCATCTTCTTCTTGGACCGCTAACAGTATCACCACCAGGACCTGAAGATTCCCCTTCCTCAATGCAACCCACAGCTCCACCCTGGTTGACACTGCAGCAATCACCTTTGGGACGGCTCCATCCCGAAACCCCCTCCCTACCAAACTGTGTGTGCAACTGCCCACTTAATGCCTCCACTCAACAGTCTCTGAAATGAAACAAACCTCCTGATACCCCACTGAAAACTGTACCCATTACTGACTATCCCATCTCAGTTGGTGGCACTTCCATCCTTCCAGCTGTTACGACCAAAACCTTTGGGGTTATCCCCGACTCTGTCCTTTCTGTCCACATCAAAAAGTCTGGTTGGCCCTACTTTAAAAAAAAAAAAAAAAGAGTCCAGGATCCAACCACTTCTCCCACCTCGATGGCCACCATTTACATCCAACAAGCCTCACCTGGCCCGTTATGGCGGCCTCCTTCCTGGTCATCCTTCTCCCCCCCTTCTCCCAGAGTCCATTCTCCACTGTGCAGCCACACGAGGCCTGTGAAAACCTTGGAAAGGTCGCTTTACTCTTAATCAAACCTCCCATTACCTCCAGAATTGACAAGTGACCTCAAGGGCAGCCATTCCAGCCCTGCTCCTGTCACCGTGTTTCCATGAGGGAAAAAAAAAAGGGGGGGAAATCTTCAGTTCCCTTGACACTCCCAGCTGCCTCCAAGCACTTGCACCGCTTCCGGTTCCTAGGATAACCCTCCGCCCCTCTTTCATCTGGCTGCCAGAAACAAGCACCCCTCCATATAACCCTCAGCCTAGACTCGGGCCTCTGTGCCTGCAGTCTCTCCAAGGTCTCCCAGACACTAGGAGCGGGAGCGCGGCCGACAGAGTCCGCGGACGCCTTAATCCCAGAAGCCACTTGGCAGGGGTCAGGACCAGTAAGGGACCGAGACCCTCCACTGACCCGTGTTGGCCTCCTGAGCATTTCTTCACTGACAGAAACCTGTGAAGAGACAGGCCCTAGAGGAAGACAGCCATGGCCGGGCTCCACGGGCTCCCATCTCCCTATATTCCTGCCCAGCCCTGGAGCCAGGCGAGCTCCGCTGCCTGTCTAACCTTTGTGCCTCAGAGAGGACTCTGACCAGGGAGGTGACCTTGCACAAGAACGTCACCTCCCGGCACCTCACCGTCCTCATCAACCCCCTTCCCGTCTGTTCTCTTTCCCAGCAACCTTCGGGAAACTTAAAACCCTCAAGGAGATCGGGTCCCTCCTGCGGCCGAAAGGCCCCTTGGCGCCTGGAGTCCTCACCTGGAGGTACGGCACCTCGGCCCGCCAGTCCCGGCGCGACGCCGCCTCACGCGCTGTCCCCTGCGGGCAGCCTCCTCCCGCCTCAGGCCCCCTCCGGCCTCCTCCCTCCCGCCTCCCTCCGGCCTCCTCCCGCCTCAGGCCCCCTCCGGCCTCCTCCCGCCTCCCTCCGGCCTCCTCCCGCCTCAGGGCCCCCGGCCCGGAGCCCGCTCCTCACGCCGCCACGCCGGCGCTCGCACACGCGGCCCCCGCCCACCGCCGCCGCCCCGTCCGACGCCGGGGCCTGGGCCGCAGGGCCGCGAGCAGCTCGGGCCTTTCGGGTCCCTCATTGGTTTTATTGATACTAATAAATATCCATGCGGGGGAGGGCAGGGAGGGCCCGGGGGACGAGCGCTTACCTGAGCCGCGTCCGTGGACGCGGCCGCCGCCATCGGACTCTGTGGCGGAGCGGACACCCGAACCGGCGGTCCCCGTCCCGGCCCCTGGCGCGGGCAGTCTGGGCAGCGTCGCCGAGCCGCGGACCCAAATCTGTGCGGTGGGGACAGCGTCTCCTCCCGACCCTTCTCTGACCCCGTCAGCTCACTCCCAAACCAGCGCCGCAGTATCTCTAAACCACGGTAAGCCCCGAAAAGCCAAAGTGACCGCCAAGAAGAGGACGCCAGAAGTCCCGCCCCAATATGACGTACTTGCACAGAAGGGCCCTCTCCTGAGCCTTCATTGGCTCAGCGCCGCCAGGCGCTCGGACAGAGCATTCTGGGTAATGTAGTTCCGACAGCTCTGCAGACCTCGGCGAGGGATGTACCCACACCTACCTCCGGGGCAAGGCAGGCGGCTCCGCCGAGGATGGCCAGGAAATGGCCTCGCCAACGAGAGCCTGGAGCTTGCCTCCTCAGGGAAGATCAGCACCCATACTTCCGGGTACGTTGTTGCAACAGATCGCCAAAGTGTTTAGAAACATGTTATTTCAGACTCCACGGAGCCGAGCTTGCTTCAGAGGCCAAAAATATTATTTCAGATGCCCTCAAAAGGACACGGATCCAAATGGACGTAGCATTCCATCGTTACTCGGTACAAAACGCGTTCGCGTCGTAGCCGGAAGCTAATAAACATCATGCTATTGCTTTTCTTTGGAGTCGGTTTTGTTAGTTTCAGAATTTTAGGTCAGGGGCTAGGAGAGAAGCCTCCGGACAGGGTCATGGCAATGAAAACAGGGGAGGAATGGACGTTGGACACTCTAGAGCAGGTGGACAGGGGTAAACCAGGCTCCGGTTCCCTCGGAAAATATCTTTCCTGCCTAAATTATCAGTGATTGTATCCAACCCAGTGAGTACTGTTTTATCCCTAGTCTATTTCTTACTCCATATCCTGAAATATATTCTTTTTACAAAATGATAGTGGCACAACTCACTACCATGGCCAATGATAGTAGCTACCATTTGTTATTAGGTCATAATAACAAAATGTATGCTTCTTGTTCTCCTGTTGCTCTAGATGTATCAGTAAAACTAACGAGGGAGAGGAAAGGGAGGATTAGAAGGGAATAAAAATTAAATTGAGACAGGAGTTGCGTAACTGTTTAAACTGAAAGGAGGGGGAAAGGAGCTCCTTTCTGTTTTCTGGGTGTGGGCAGCCACTTTGTGCAGGTGATAACCAAGTTGACACTAAGGAGACAAATGAGGACTAGTCACGGGGAGAGCCAGGTTAAAACAATCCAACACGAAGGTAGAGAAAGTGCCAAAAAGAGATGAGAAAAAGCTCGGTGAGGTGGAAGGAGATCAAGTAGCCGGAAAAGGGCAAAAAGGGGACAGGAGAGGAGGAAGAGGGGAGCACAAATGGGAGCACCAATGAGAGCACCACATGAGGCTCAGGTCTCTGATCTCACTTTTTTTTTTTTAATTTTTTATTTATTTGCGAGAGAGAGAATGAGAGACCGAGAGCATGAGAGGGGGGAGGGTCAGAGGGAGAAGCAGACTCCCCGCTGAGCAGGAAGCCCGATGCGGGACTCGACCCCGGGACTCCAGGATCATGACCTGAGCCGGAGGCAGTCGCTCAACCGACTGAGCCACCCAGGCGCCCTGATCTCCCTTCTTTTCTATGTACACTCACTACAATGGGGGAACCTCAACCAGGCTCGTGTCTGATGACATTCTCTCTGTACTTATGACTCCAAAGTTTACGTCTATATATCACACTTCCTCCAGGAACTAACCCATACCTCTATTCACCTACTCAGCATGTCCAGATGGGCTTGAATCTGCTGTCTCCAGTAGTCACCATCTTGGTTCATAACAGCACCATTATCCTAGGTCCTCAGAGCAACCTGGAGGTCACCCTTAACCATGTTCTCCCTTGTCCCTCATAGCAGTCATGAACAAATCATGTGCTACTTACTTTCAAAGGACAAAAAAATCTGTATCTCCCTACTAAATATGTTAATAGCTGATCCAGCTACCATCTCCTCACCCCTGATTTATTATAGCTGTCTCTCAATGATCTCCCTACTTTACTTGTTGATTTATGGTCTAATCTTTAAATAGTAGCCAGAATGATTGATCTTTCCCAAGTAAAATCATGTCACTTCCCTTTCCAAACCTTTCAATACACGCTTCTTTACAAATTAAAACCTCGATTCTTGCAATAGGTTTAAAGGACAAACATGACCATGTTTTGGCCCAACCCTATGAACTTTCTTCCTACAGGGACGTCTTGCTGCCTATTCCCTTCAAGCCACCAGCCACACATAAGGACAGAAGTCAAGCATCTACTGGCTATGCCAATTCACCATGTATTATGAGCCAAACCC